TTTCCACTAATCAGGAAAGCTTTGTGTAAAAGCTCTTACTCTGAAATCAGAGGATCAAAAGAGGATTGCATGGTGGAATGTTACAATCTGCTTCCATAGCGATTAGTGTCATCGGATAGAAAGCCTCTTGGATAACACAAATTGAAAGAACAAGTCTGCTACGTGTATTCTCAGGTTGTCCTCAAGTGTAAGAATCCCTCAAAACATAACCGACAAACATCAACAGAAGTCAGTGCACAAATTCTCAGTTAAAAATACTTTAAACTCAAAGAACTATCACTGGGGCCTACACTCCTAGAATACTTCTTCAACAGTTACAGAAGATGCCACAAAACATCCTGGTCCCGAATAGCCTTACAGATTAAAATTTAGTTTCTTCAACCTATTTTACAAGAAATTTGTTTTACTTCTGCCCGGTGAGATTGCTAAAAATCCCTCAAACCCCACCCCCACCCCGCAAAACCGTCTGAGGTCACTGAGAAGAGCCTGCCAGAGTTACTGGTACAATTCAGAGCTTATTGCACTTAGACATGAGTAAGGCAAAACAACGAACTAAAAATAAAGGGATAAACTGCCCCCTCCCCAGAAACCAAGCGCCATCCTCTCCCTCCAAGAGCATGCCTCATCTTCCCTCACACTAAAAACAGTTCAGATCCCAGCACACGCTTGCTCAGCATGGCACAGGATCATTTCAGGATCTCCTGCTTGCAGGAATCTGAAGGGCTGAAGGAGTCGGATGTATTACAGAATGCCAAGACTCCTCAAAAGTGGCGATACACCCACGACTGTGTTTGGCATTCAGTATTTCATGTTAGTGCTGCCAAATACAGAAGTGGAAAATAAAGTGATTACTACTAGGAAAAAAAAAAATTAAGAAATCAAACATTGGGCCTTAGGCATAAGCAAAGAAATTGTTTTTGTTTTTTTTCATATGTATTTAATAAAGCAGCATTTCTTTGATACTGTTCTGCTTATTTGATTGTCTAAAGCTGATATCAACATAAGTATTTGAATTCATAAAATAACCAGAGTTTTTTTACATTGTTTAACAGTATCCTTTGTGATTTATAATAACTGACAGATATCCTAAAAAAAACCCTGCAGGTCTTTGTAAGTTGCTTTCTTATAGCTTGAAAGGAGATATTTTAGTCAGTCTTGCAATGGGAAGAATATTATTGCTGAGCAGAACCACCGACCCAGGCACCTGGATGAAACCAGATACCAAGACTTTACTTGTACACCAGCTTTTGCTACATCCCAATTTGTCCAGGGAGAATCACATTATTAATAGTCGAAATAATTTTAGCTTTGTAAGTTATGGGAAGTCTTAGTAAATAAAGAACCAGGAAGTTATGACATATGTCAAGCAACTTTTCATAATGATTTTGTAAGGCTGACACACACAGCTGAAGGACAATATAGCTACATGGGCCAAAGGGACCACGTATGACTAAATTGAAACTCAACAGTTATGTGCTGAAGGCCCTAGCATGGGGATGCTGAATGCAGCTTCTGTGCAGTCTTTAACTGATGTGTGCTGAGACAGAACAGAGTAATGCCGTGCAGAAGCCACGTATATGATTCATCACAGACCAAGAACTGTATCTGGCTACTCCAGTTTACATATTCAGATTACGTGCCATTAAATTTCTTACCCTGGGAGCAAAGGTCAGAGCATAGCATTTTGTGGAATAGTTTTGCACTCTAAAATACTGACAGTTTCCCTCTCCATTTCATTTCAAAGAATGGTGAAGGGCTGGGCAGGAACAAAGGTGGCAGTTTATCCCACTTGGAAAAAAAAAACAAAACAAGAAAAAACCCCCAAACCTAAGTCACCACATCACAAGACTATTTTAGCTAAAAATGTCACTTGGAAATCAAACAGGGCCACATGGAAATTGGTCTGAACACAATGAAAAAAAAAAAAAAAAAGGAGGGAGGAGTCGTAAATACAGCGGTCTCTAAGTCACACGTCTCCAAGGAGCTATCTCCTTCGTATACGTGCTAACATTGGAGTGCTTAGTACCAGACGGTCTATTTGCTCACAATATTAAAGGGCATCTAGAATTAGCTATGGGAGATTTAAAATCGCCTGCCGATTGGATATAGAAAGGCTTGATCCAGAGATGGTCCGTCAGTCAAGAGTGTGGATTCCCCGGGCCTTCCTGACGACTGTCTTGCAAACTAAAATAAAGAGACAACAGGAAGACATTTTAGAACCACTTTGGCAGAGCGGTGTGCCAAAAGAAGGCTCAGACTGAACCTTCAGGAAGGAAATGGGAGACACACTGTCACCAGTGCAGCCAGTGGCAATACACCGCTGCATCATTACGTTTCTGCAATAATCCAGAGCAGAATTTCCAATAGAGCCTAAAAATGACAAGCAGAAATTGCAATTTAAACAATCTAACACATCAGGGGCTACAAGACCACCAGCTCAACTTTTCTACAAACTAGAGTAAACGTGAATGAAGAGGAAACTAAAAAGGTTTAAGTTACATTAAAAAATTAGTCTGTATCTATCAGAAGACACCCCTTCTGCCACTCCTTCACCTTGTGTTCCCCACTTACCACCAAACAACCAGCAGGTAACAGAGGACAAGCAGAGGTAAACAGCCAGCCCTTGGTAGGGCTGTGGTTCTGCCCCACACTGTTCTGGCCAAGGATAACTAGGACAGCATTTTACCACCCTAGAAAAGTCGTGGCTACTAACTTGGACTTCTCTACATAAATGGACAATGTCTTCCTTCTCCTTGCCTTCTTACTTCTCTAATACTTACCGCATTTTTGTAAATGTCTAAGAAAAATTCCCCACCACCAAACCCCAAACTGATTACAGAGTTTAACAGAATAAGGTTCAACATTGTCAGCGCTGTTTACACGTTAGCTATCATCCACATGCTGTCTAGAATACAGCCTAGGGATTTGGCCAACAAAGGCAAATTCACATACGCTCTTCAATATGATAGTCCCTCCCCTGCCAAGTTAGCACACTCATAGTGAAATAGATGAAAAACAAGTCAAAAGCTTTAAAATTGTCATTGCTGTTTCTTCTGCAACATGCAAGTGTTGTTCAGGCCTTGGCCTATTAGTAAATACTGTTAACAAACAATGCGAGACAGACATCCCAAGCATATTTGCAAGGAATTTTCAATTTCAAATACAGAGTTTTGTCAAACTCTCTCGATACCTACAGTGCACAAGGAAGAAGTCATGTTAGTCATCTGCAGCCGTCATTCCTTTCACTGGATCTTTTTCTCTCATCTGAAAGAGGAAACACTATTCAAGTACTGATTCTTACACAATATTGGTACGGAACACGTTAAGCTACCTCCTCTATGCAAGACTCTGATTACATCTGAGCATCCCAAATCAGTGTTTGTGAATATGCACGTGCAGGCACCACTCCTGGTTAAGGTGCAGGTCTGCGAAGGGTCTGGAACCATTAGCCAAAGGGCAGAGTGGACATGAAACTATAATAAAATATCCTGAGGCATGAAGGAAGAGTGCAGTGCAGGACACAAATCACGGAACAATGTACTCATTACTACCAAATTTGTGTTTCTCATAGTAAGAACCCTGTTACATACCCCCACTACCTGCTTATAATACTTACAGCTAGAAATACTTCTATTGAACTGGTTTTTTGAAAACAACAAAGACAAAAATGACCTTTGGGTAAAAGCTAATAGCAGATATTAAAGCAGTAAATGAATCATTGCCACTCATACCCTCAATACCCGTGGCTCAATACATTTATTGACTCAACCACACACAGAAGAAGTCCATAATAATTAGAAGGGGATGCCAGCACAACAGTCATAGCCAATCACTCAAAGCACAAGCAGCATGACCTAAATAGCAGGAGGAAGACAACACACACTATGCTATGACAGTGCAGCAGTCTTTCCTCTCTCTACGGTACTGGATAGAAACAGTTTTTCACACAACCCACACCTGCCCTGCTTTTCCACTGACCTCATCCAGCTGTCTCTTGGTCTCCTCCTCCATCCTACGAATGTCCTCCATAGTCAGATCAACCCACTTATCAAGCCAGCAAAAGAGCTGCCGATGGAAGTTTGTGAAGAGACGCTTTTCTTGCTGCAAAAGGAGGAGGAATAAAACATACAAGTGAGCTTACTCATAGGGCAATTAATACAGATCTAACCAGATCATAACAATTTTCAGAGATGTGTACACTGAACAACCAGCTCCCTCGCCCACCTTTCTATACAGCTACCACAATTGGAAACTGGAGCTAGCTAATTTTTCTTCTTTTTAACAGAATATTTAGAACCTTGAATCCCTGGAGAAATGAGGGGTTTTTTTTCAAGCCTAGACAGCAGTCTGCATTGAAAGAATTAGCGAATGCTTTAGTAATTTCCTTTCATTTGACAGTATTGTTCTGACTGAAGTGCTCCAGGTTGGGTTTACTTAGAGCATGACTGCTGGCCTGAAGGTGCAGAATAAAGGAAAAACACAATAAAAGTATTTTTAAGATAATCCTTGACTTGCTAAAAACTGGAGGTTAGCAAGTGTAAAGGGTTGACATGCATGTATCTTGCTTTTTCCTTTTGCAGTGACCTAAAAAACGCCTAAACTTGTTTTCCACAGCTGAAAACCTTTCAGTGGGGGGTAACTAATATGCACTAGCTACGTCAAGTCAGAGGCAATTTACTTCTATTTTATAGGAGATAAGCTAGACAAAATCATTAGACAGGGGTATACAATGCCTCTTGGAAAGTTCTCATTAGGGAAGGACACTTCAGTTTTACCAATTATGGTTTCACATCTGATAACCTGCTCTCATCAAGAGCAGCTCGACTACTTTGATGCAAACGTGTAGCTAAAGAGACCTTCATAAAGAGAAAAGGATTCAAGACACTGCTTTGTTCAGGGCTTTTGTTACAGGTATTTGAAATCCTACAGCAGCATGGTCATTCCCCCTTAGAGTTTTCTTTGGATTATATCACCAAAGAATTGCTTTTGCAGAAGCAGCACTGTAGTTTATCAATATTAACCACTGAGAAGTCTCCATGATCTGAAGTCACAGGCATTTTATGAACACGGCATTGCTTGGAAAATTGCACGTACTGATTCCCAGGTCTAGCATCCCGCTGCAGTCCACAGGTTGTGAACTCTGCCACAGAAAAAGCTCTTTTCAAGATAGCAATTATTCACGTTCTCAGTTAATGAAGTTTCCCACCATCTGTTTATTTTTTAACATGGGTTTTTCAAGCAGCAGACTAGGAGAGGAAAACATGACTAGAGCTCTGTGTCTTGCCAGAAACATCCTCAGCTGATTAGGATCAGATAACTGAAGCTGTAACTATCTCCCCACAAAAATGTGTCTCGGCCCTGACCAAAATAACTCTAGTATACATGCATGATCTCATCATTCACAAATCAACTACCGAATGACCACAATTCTCAGGCTGATCTATTAAACAACAAAACAGCCAGTTTACCTTCATACATAACAGTGGTTCAACAGCCAATTCACAGAACAACCAGCCAGCCCTGCTCTTGGATTAGCAGCAAATTAAATTCAACTTTAACCAACTGCAGTGTATCAAGCAGAGGCCTTGACTGTATTGCCTGAGGTGACATGACTGGGCTTCAAGTTAATATCTCCAGGCAGGACACACTATTAGAAGCCAAGGTGCTAAAGCAGATGGGAGATGAAACACACCTCATGTCCACATTTCTCTCCATCAGAGAGCTCACCTACCTTCTGTATAAAGTTCTCAACTTTATTTTGCAGACCCCACCACTTGAACTTGACTGTTACCAGTTTGTAAGCACACATGTATGGACAATCTGTCTGCTTCCCCAGCTCCTTCTGCAAAGACATCAAGATATTCACATCAGGATTCAGGTCAAATGTCTCCAGACAAGCAGCTCCTTCAGTCATAACTATGGAGTCTTTTCACAATTCCTCACAATCACTTTGCATCCTTACACCTTGCCTTTCTTCTATTGACAAGTTTTGTCACATCTTTGCTCATCCCTTTCCCAGGGTATTTAAGAGCATGATGAAAATAGACTCTACGTTCCTCCACAGTTGGCCTTCCCTCCCATTTTGAGAGTAGACCACTCCTTCCTCTCTTCTGCTCTCCATTTTTTCTTCCATTAAATTTAGGTTTTTCAGCATCTTCACTGTTATGCCATGGTGTGAGAGATGACTTGTAACTCCCCGAAACAGGTCCTGCGAGAGATTAGGGATGGGGGGGGGGAGCGGGGGCTCTGCGAGCTGAGGAACATCTCCAAGACTCGCGAGTAACAAATCGATGGTCACGGGGCGATCGTGTGGCGTTTGGCGCTGATCAGCTGCCTGGACAGCACAGGAGGGGCTGCAGGGGGGAGCCCTGTGGGGAGCAGGATGGTTCTGCTCTGGGGCAGCTTGTTCTGGTGAATGACCTTTGCTTTGTTATCCGTGAAATGCATATTAAAGTTGACACCCTGCATATGCTGACGAAGATTAACAAGGGCATGCTAATTACATCATCCCGTGAAGCACCTTACCTCTCCCCATCTATGGGATACATAGGTATGTGGGTTGATCCAGGGGATGGATCCAAGGAGAGTGTGTATAAAGTGAGGGGGTATGTGTGAGGAGTTAAAAAAAAAGGAAAAAAAGGTGGGAAGACGACGGATGAATCACTGATGAACTCAGGGAAGAACCCTGATGAACTCGGACAGGACCAACACAGGAACCTGGACTGGTGATCTCTGTTTCTCTGTTCTCTTTCTCTCTCCTTTTTTTTTTTCCCATTTTTCCTTATTCACTTTAGGTAACCGAGGCATACTACATTGCTCACCATAACTTGTTACATACTTAGCCTGTTATCGTGTATCCAGTTAATACATTGTGGGAAGTTAATAAATGTCCATGTCTGGACTTTGAGACTTGTCTCACTGCTGTCCACTCCATTGGGGATTTACAAATCTAAGTCCTTGTCTCCCTCGTCTGAGTGGGGCATGACACGTGGCTACTTACCTTCCTTAAAAGTCTTTTGACAAAGTTCCTGTCTAATACCTTCTGGAAATAGATCATCCAAGTCATCCACATAATTATCAAGCCTTAAAGAAAACTCCGCAAGGTTTGTAAGGTGAATGTTCCTACTTCCTTTTACAGGAGTCATAGCCACTTTTCATATCAACCTCGGCATCTACTAAGTTTGCCAGCTAGAGATCAGATTTGCTCACCCATAGCTCCCCAGATCCCATTCAGGGTCTCTTTTAAAGACTGGTATCATATTTGCACTTCCACAGTCTTCATATTCCAAGGATTTAAGTGAAAGGTTAAACACTGCTGCTGAAAACTCAGCTATTTCATCCTTGAATTCTCTTGGGTGAACCCTTGGGCTGAACACCAGACAGCTCTGGAGATTTCTCAGAACTCATTCTATTTGTACCAAACTCTTCTATTTCCTTTAACTTCAGACCAGATCCCCAGCTGAGTTCTGCATTTCCTTCTACAGAAGTGAATCCAATGTTTTACATATATATCTCTGGCTTCAAGTCCCAGTATCTATACTTCAGTCATGCAAGCTGATATAGCTCCTGAACTCATGAAATACGTACCTTCCAGTTGGGACCCAGAGGTCCACGTCCAGTCTTGACAGATTTAAATTTTGCTGGATCTTCTTCTGCCTTGTAATCCTATTGGACAGACACACAAGATTAAACACAAATTATCCTACTGTTATCCAGCTGCTCACTGTCACAAAGGATTTATTTTTCTGGTGGGCAAAGACTAACCTCTAACTGCCTTCTCAAGAGCTACTGTTTTCAGACTCCAACATTAGGTCACTCTTCAAGAAAACATATTTCCCCGCCCTGTGCTGTGTTCTAGACTTATGTGAAGAAGTGGTAACAAACTGTATGACCTTTGTAAGGATTCCTTTGGGGTAAGACTATGAAGAAGATCTGCAAACCCTCAGGACAGGTTTCCTGTAACCACTCGTTGTTTGGGAGCTAAACACTGCTGCTGCAGAAAATAGCTGTGTTCTCTGGAGCTGCGGTATCGAGTATTTTTCACAGCACTGTATCAGGATGATGCTCGCACATCACACACTAGAAAACAAGTACAGTCAAACTCACAGTACCACCAAAAAGAAAGAGGCATCAGTTTTGCCCCCTATTGTACAGGAAATAATTTGCAACATTCCCCTTGTGCATCTCAGTTTGAGACTGGGGAGTGTACTCTATTCCTACCCCCAATTCAATTAAAATGAAAACAAATTCAAATCATCAGCAGTTTAGTGCCAGGAGTGATAAATTGGTAACATCTTCTTCAGGAGTCTTTTGCTGCAGGTGACTTCTTGCTCTCTGACAGCATTTAATTCAGAGTAGTTGGTATGTGTAGATACAGCTTAGTACCCACCTAACCTATCAGACTCAGGTGTTACTTATGTTATACCAATACATCTTTATTGGAAAGAAAAGCTAAAATAAGTACTAGTTCTGGTTTAATACCCCAAAGCCAAGTTTGAGAACAGGTAAATTAGTCATATTTGAATGGTATCAGAAATACTAGGTGGGAAAACTCAAACATTACATTTTTTTATAGCTGTTTTCCCAGTACAGTACAGGAACATCCCTAAGTTCCTTACAGTAACTGTAGCGGTTCTTAGAACAAAGTATCAGCTACATGATTTCAAATTACACTTGTGAAGCCATGGGTAGTTTAAAAAAAGATCCTGTATAGAAAGGGCAGTGCCATTTCTTCCTATTCAACCATTATAATCAGCTGCAGGTGTTGTAGAACTACACATACACACTGTTACATGTACTGTAAGGCTAAGGAACACATGTTACAGACAGTATTGGCAGAGCTTTTAAAAGAACTCTTCCTTTAGCTTCTAAGGAATGTTTTTCCTCCTCTTTCCATCCTCTCAACTGTCCTGTTACCTGTGGCCATCCCTAATAACACAGTTTGTACATCATCCCTCTTTTAGCACAAGGCCTCCCACACTAGGGAGCTCTTACCCACCTACCATACCTTGGGAAGTACTTGACTCCGATCAGCAATGTCTATATAAATAGCTTCTACATTCTTCCATACATCTGGCTCCAGTTTATGAACCTGCAGTGAAAGTACAAGACTGATGTAACTGATTCAGCTACAGAACACTCCCATTCTAATATCATAAAAAAACATCTGGAGATACAGATACCCAGTGTTTCCCTTCCACGTACAGAGAGGACACTGCAGTAAACACACAATGAGAGATCTTTGAAAGAAGAAAAGATGCTCACACAGAACAAATGTTTGGGGGACAATTTTATTCAGCATATATGAGAGGCCAACAGGAGGAAGTCTCTGCCTTGTTAGTGCAATAAGCATTTCAAATCCAGGAACACGGCAAATAGACAGTTCCACACAGCAATTCTCTAATCTAGCATGGAAAGCAGCATTGTGACATTAAATAAATGAATAAAATATATGACACAAGTACTTACATTCTCTTGTGTTCCAAGATCTGATTTATGCCAGGTTTCAATTTTGATCAGGAAGTCATCCTTCATATACTCATTCTGTCATCAAAATAAAGCTTCTTGTTATTCTTTGGATATATAACTTGTCTTCTTATTAGCTAGATAAGCATTAGGAAAGTCAACTCAGAGTTATAACTTGATTGGGGTTTGACTTGGGGAACTTCAGAATTATCTGTAGACACATCATTGCTTTTAGCAAAATTGTTTGATCACTAAATATATAAGATCAAATAAACCATAAGTTATCCACTGAAAAAACAAAACTTCCATTGTTTTAGTAAGACATTTTGAGTTTACAAGTAACTTTTTCTTTAAAGGACAATACCTGCGACTCTATTTAGAGTTTAGAAGGGGTAACATAAGTTAACTAGGCAGAAATTGTCTTTTCAAATAGATTATTGATCTAGCACTGAGTCCATATTTGGATGCAACTCTTCAAATGAACAATATTAAAGTGATTGAGTCGAGAGCTTTTGACATGGGAAAGGGAAGGGACGAGAAGTACAGTTCTCCCAACTAAGAAAAAAACTTTCCATTTCTCATTATTACTGTGAGTAGAAAAGGACTTCCAAAGGTAACCCTATCCTCCCTCAAGGGAGTAGAAACAAAAGCACAAGTCAGTGAAACACTCAGCATGTAAAAGGGAAATATCAAATTCAGAAGACAGATGACTCAAAGAGACACAATGGTCCAAGCTAACTTTCTTTTAATCAGTTTCTCTAAGCAATGGTACATTCCCATTTGTAAAATTGAGCATTGCTGCAGTGTCCCTAGTTACACTGTTTGGACATGCCACAGTTGGCAAGGGGGTTTAATCTACATGATCTTAAAATGACAAAAGCTGAAGTGCCTTTAGTTCAAGCTAAAGAGCTTCTTCTACCCAGAACACTTCATTTCAGACATTACACGTGCTTCCATAGATCATGAGTAAAAGCAATACTTACTGTAATAACTGGTCCAAGAAATCAACGCATGAAAAGAAAGAGATACAGTACTTTAGTGAAAAAAGAATGTACCACAACCATTGCCCCTCCCTCCCACTATCAGCAAAACAGGGACAGCTTCAGCTTTCCAGGGGGCTGTTGACACTACTGAGGAAAACACCCTAGAAGTCAATAAAAGCTAACTTCACCCCCTTCTCCTCTGGAAATTCCCAGACTTGGAGAAACCCAGAGGAGCAGCAATTAATTATGTACTGTCACTTCTGCTCTCTGGACTCCAGCCAGCTGGATGAGAAGATGGAATAAGTATGTTCAGCTGACGGCATTTTACCAATCCTTTCTCAGCTTGCAGATAAGAAACCTCTCCATAGTTCTGAAGCAAACACATGCTGGATTTCAGGCCAGTGCAGACCTCATCACTCCTGCACGCAGTAACCAGACCCTCTGCATCTCTACTGCTCATGGTAACTAAACTCCCTGGATAGTAAGGCTCAATTATTCAACACAGAAAAGCGATTAAAGATCCTGTAACAGTCAGCATCTGCTCCACCTGAGCCAGAGTACGTTAGCAATTCTACTCAAGAATAAGGATGTCTGAAGCTAGAGTTGAACTTTGTTGGTTTGTTCTGAAGTTTAACATGAGGACTTCACTAAGAAGCAATTTTATTTTAGAGGTACTATTACAATTTGCGAGTTTCCCAACATTCTACAGACAGTACTGTCCCTTATCACCCATCAGGCACATCCAGCTACCTTAATTGCCTACTGCTGGGCCTTGGGACTGTGCTAAACCCCTAACAATCTGAAAAACAGCAATTTACAGAAGGCTAATTATTTAGACCAACATGTTGGGGTGGAGGGAGAGAACAAGCAAGCGGAGCTGAGGCTAATTTTTAAAAGGGCGAACATCTCAAAGAACATTTCATTATTTCTGCAAGGTTTTTTTTTTTTTTCCTGCTAGTCCAAACAAAATACTGAATAAACCAGCAGTAATTATAAACCAGAGTCTTCCCACCTCCCCATGACTATGCACCATGACTATGCAGCTGCCTTAAAACAGGTTTCTTCACCTCCCTAATTTCTTCTCTGTGGGGAAGATTCCTCATTTGTAAAGTAAACAAATTAATCTCTTCAGAAATGTCCATTAAAACTTAGATGCTCAGCTTGCTACAAATTAGGGCCTGCACTTGAGGTGTTACAGCAGCAACTCCTACACATTTCAGCTGCAGTTATAACTTCTCAATTTCTTGACATTTGGCCACAGGCCATGCTGACACTCAGAGGAGTGGAACACACATCAAACTGCTGTTCTAAAAACATTTAAGCAACATTCGTATTGAAGTCAGACTGCAGAAAAGAACCAAGAACACTGTTCTCCTTGGCACCAGCCCACAGTTAAAACTATTAAGCAATCCTCACTTCGTTTTTACTGTAGAAGTGGTAAATACATGCAACGACAATCTCATTTACAGTTCACATTCTCAAAGGCGCAAAGTAAGGCTTCCATTTGAAGTACATAAAACCAACATATTACAGCACAAATAAATGTGCAGAATCGCAGGAAGTTATAAGCTAGGCATTTAAATTCCCTCAGTCTGGAGTATTACTTTGATAACAGTATATAATATGCATATTAAAGTAATAATTGAGCTTTTCAGAGGAGATACAGGGAAATGTAAGAAGGATGATCTCGTCTAATTAAAGAAAATACCAGGAGGCACAATTAAAAGTAAAGCTTTATTCAAATTTAAAAGGCTCTGTGCAATACCTGCTGTGCAAGTAAGCATTGCTCTGGAGCAGCACACTAGTATCACCTTGGTACAGGAGGGCACAGGCAGAAGTACCACTAACTCCTACACAGTCAAACCAGGTTTAGTTCTTACGCTGTCCCTGGCTCTTGAATTTCAAACTCTGGTGAGAGGGCTGAAAGCTGTAAGCCAGCATGGCATTCTGTGTTACGCAAAGATTTACATGAGGCCATCCAAGTCTTCTCACGCACGACCAAAATACCTGACTGCGTCCCAAAGTAAAATGATAATGCACGAGGCAGCCTACACCACAGATATGGGTTCTTGCCTCCTGCCCAATACTAGCAAGTGAAGGTTTCAGCAACTTTTCTGAGCTTTTCTTGATTCACGTCAGGCTGGCAGATTCTCTAAACAGATTTGTCAGCCTCCGCATAAAAACTGCCTTCTGCTCCAACCCCCACAACAAAGCACTTTCTATCTCATATTATATTGATGTTTATTACAGTTGAGGATTTTTTTTTTTCTGTTATGTTATCATTTCTAGCATACCAAAATCTGAAATTTCTTCGACTGTGTTGGAGAGTCTTGTATTTGATTTTAGTATCACATTTTTGCCACTTAAGTAGAGTTCTAGCAGTGTGTAATTGAACGATAAGAGCGACAAAACAAGCTAACTCCATACCTTTGTCTCAGAGATTGGTGGAGAAGAAAAAGAGGAGGAGGAGGATATAGCTAGGCATTATGTCTAACAAAGTCTACTGGAGTCAACTTAGATCTGTTTCCACAATTTAAAGAATTAATGAAAGAACTTTTTGTGTTTAAACTAGTTCAGTGTACTTAACATGGAAATAAACTAGATGTTTATTTGCTAATTTAAGTAATATACAGCAAGAAAACTGCGTAAAAATGAGAAACATAGGTTGTAAATAACTATTTCAGCATCTTGTATTATATGACGTATTAGAAACTTACTCTGCATGATGATGACACTATCTGAATTTTGTATTTAAACTATCCATTCCACTAGACCACTGCATGCAATTTCACATACTGACTTAACATTATCCTCCCCCACTGCAAAGCTTTTTCCTTCTTTTAAAACACGTAATTTTAAATTCTCTTAAGGAAATAGTTGAAAAATATTTTTTTCTATATTGAGTTGTAAGAACAGCTGGAATTTTTAAGTTTACAGTTCCCATAGCAACTGTACCACTACCAAATACCAGGAAATAGATCCTCCAAGGATACAAACAGCATAAAACACAGCCAAAAATATTACCTAAGTTTGGAGGCAAAGCCAAATTTACAGCTCCTACAGCAACAAAGACCACAAAACCAGTAGTAGTTAAATACTGTGGCTGATAACTTTAGTGAGTAAATAAAATCCTATACAGTCCTGTAGAAAATTTGTTTGACCTTATTCCACCACTTCGCACAGCTTCCAGAGTTCACCCCAACCAAAATCTTCCCTGTTCCCTTCCTGCATCTTCCACTGCTTTTCCCACCACACTCTGCTGCACTTGAGCACATAAAATCATCCCTCATACGTTCATTTCACTGGTGTTACACAACTGTTCCTTTATAGGACTAATGTCCATTTCTTGGTCTTTTTTTCCCCACTGTCATTCATGAGCAGCACATCAGACAAGGGCATTTCTTGTAACTCCACAGCACTATATTTTGCTTCTCCTGACCACAGAAAGGGCTTAGAGAACAAAAATCTAAGATTTAAAGAGCTGAAAGAGCTTCCTTACTGGTTGTCTCCTTCCTTATCCCCTCCTAACCCCTCCCCAGGAAACCAAAAAGCCAGCAATCCACAGTCCTTCCCCACGCACTCACCAGTTCTGCAGTAGGGATAGGCATTCCAGGCTTTTTCATGTATATTGAGAGCTCCTTCAGGGGCCAGCATTCTCACAAATGTTGGCACTTTGCTGCAGAATTTGGAAATAGGAAGAAAGGCACTGATCAGAACTGTGGGTAACGAGAGCTATGGCCCAGACTCTGAGACAGGCAGAACATCACCTGAAATGCAGACGCTAGACACTCACACATGCGTGCAGCGGTGGAATTGGTGGGGTTGTCCCCACCCTCAGTACAATGATTTCCAGAGACTGCTGAATTGGACAGGTTAAATATAAAACCTTCTTGACATAATGAAAGGAAAGAAAAAAAAGAAGGGGAGAGGAGGCTGAAAACAGGTTGAAACCCAGGAGGCATTTTGCTCTTTAGCCAAATTCAAGTATGAAAACACTGGGTAACAGGATCATATTTTCTTTGAGAAGCTGAGAGCCAGATTTTCTTGGGGGTGGATAGGTGTACCAGTGATGCTCACTTCCAGCAGTACCACATCCCAGCTGCCATTACGCTCCTGTCTTCCCTCCCTGCCTTTACATAATCTGATTTACACAGTTCCTGCAACCCTACTGCACCTTCCACCAGTTTCTCTTGCCCAAAGAACCTTGCCCAACTCTAGAAATAAAATGTTTCACATACCTCTGTAAATGGTAGATCTTGTGTGTGTACTGCCCACGCTCTCCATCTCTCTCGTAGGGTTCGTTCACCAGGACCTCCACTCCTTCACCTCCACCAGTTTCATTTTTACTGGCTTCTGCCACAGAATACAGCTGTCCCACTTGATACTAAAGAAGTTAAAGACACATTATTGTGATAGCTATAATTTAGCAGAAGTAATAACTTTACTAGAAGCAGCCAAGGATAAATGTATTATCTGGGGAGAAGGCAGAGAAAAGGACATCCACTTGTGTGTCCAGATAAGCAGCTCATTTAATTTCATTTTGATATAAAGCTTGAGTGGTAGTTAGGAGGAAACTGCTGCCAATAGGATGGTTACCTTTAACCCTTAGATCTCAAGCTCCAAACCAACATAAATTCAGGAGAAAGTAAAACAGATTAAAGGAGCATCAGGGCAACATTTAAAAAAATCTGCAGATGACCTTTGGCATACTGTAGCAAAATCCACTGGTTTTCAGGTTTGGCACATGGGTGTTGCAGTTGTTCAGGTCAAATGGATAACAGCATGCTGACAGTCCTAAATTAATAGGCATATAGTACTTTATCCAAAAGAGTCACAAAGAACTTCACATGAAGTTATTTGACAAAATGGGGGGTAGGAGGGAAGGGAGGGAAGAACTGCAGAAGGGAGACAGAAGATAAAGGGTACTCGCACCACCTAATTTAAGTGCTCTGAGAAACACACTTGTTAGATGCACACAGCTTAGGAGCCCATTAGAGCCAAAGGTGAGCATCCCCCAAGTCAGATCAAAACAACCAAATAAGCAGCTTGAAGTAAAGAGGGTATTTGCACCAGTCGGCTTTCCAGTGAAATGCTGCTACCTCTTAAGGCTGAATATACTGAAACTACCATTCTGGGCCTTTACAACATGGCCTACTAACATACTAACATGCTTAAATCTCTCTTGCCAAAACTGACACTATGATCAGATCATGTCATTCTCTTCAGTGAACACCCATTTCCCTTCTGAACCTACTTCAAACTCTGTTCTGTCAGGCTCTCTACAACCAATCTTTTTCCTTCCTTCTCAACTGTCTTTATCCAACCTCAAATGATGTTTTACTTCCACGTAACTAAATCCATTCTGAAAACTTTATCTAATGAAATAACTGAACCCACTAACATCCAGGATGACTGGTTGATCCATGCTGTCACTGCTCCCCCTACCATTTTTCCTATCTTTGGTTTGGGTTGGGTTTTTTTCTGTATCACACTTCCTCTTAGCCACGAGCATTAAACCATTAACAGGGAGAGCACAGAATTTCAACACACAGTAAGATTCTTAGGATCATTTTTTTAGTCTCTTACAGACACTCACTTGGCAGCGTTATTTCCCAGGAATCCCTCAAACTACTTGATACTATACAATCTCTTTGATAAGAAGCACGGCCAAATGTTTCACAGGGAAGAGCAGAGGAAAAAAATCAAGGATTGAGCAAAAGAGAACATTCTTGTCTGCAGAAGATGTAAAGACTAATACACTCTTTCCTCTGGTAGCTAAAAAAGGGGATGCAGAGCTCAAAAGAAACATGATCAAATGAAGAAAATTCAGGCAGGTCTCTTTGAGGTGAAGTTAGATGAGCAGTAAGGTTTGAGGATGAAGAAGCTAAGGCACAAAGTTCAAAAGGAAGTGTTCAAATTTAACCGAGTTAAGTTTTCAGAACTGCAAGTGAGCCAAACAGCAACTGTTGCCAAAAGCAGTAGAGAGAGGCAGTCTGAAAGGGTAATACACAGAGTCTTAGGCATCAGAAGTGAAATGATTAAACAAACAAACAAAAAAAACCAAACCAAAAAACTCCAAAATGTAACTACAAAGCAATGGAACACTGATTAGGTCTTCTTCCTTTTCCCCAACACAGGGCTGTGCATCAGAATCGGGAATAGCACTTACCACTTACACTGAAGCCCAGGCTGGAGAAGTGGAATACTGCTCTGAGCTGACAACCCCAAAATACTTTGCTGGGCTAGTACATCCTCACCAATGAAGGAAGATTTCTACAGTGGTTAAATTTCAGTTCCCAGTACTCAAGCTCTACGGTGTTTTGTACCATCTCGTGCTAACAAAGACCAAGAAAACATTTGTTCCTACTGGAAGAGTAGTAGATGATAAAACAAAGCAGTAAGGATAGACATCCTGGTCTCAGTTAACCTGGGGCAGGGCAAAAAGCATAGCAAAGGATTTAAACAAGTGTTCTAAACAGTCTCAAATACAACACATCAGCATATAAAGTAAGTCTGAGTACCTGTTAGACTGTCCCTGAAAATATAACAAAACAAACAGCCATCCAGTAAGAGTAATCTATAAGAAAAGCAATCTACAGACTGCTTTTGAGCTAAGAGCAAAAGCTCTGCTGTATCTCTTCAGAAGGTGCTGGCCCAGGTTACACAAACAGCCCTCACTTGGCTGGACAGTTCCTGCCCCATCACCAACAGATTGGGTTTCAGTCTGGATTTTGGGCTGCAATACAACTCTCTGGCTTCTGACATTTCATACACTACACTGCTTTCCTCATGACTCCCCGCAGATGACCCATACAAAACAGAATACTCGCCTCCCTCCAGAAGAGCAAAACATGAGAGTTGTGAAATCTCAGGAGCAAGTTGATTTAGTAAAGAGGTACACTCATAGAGAAGAGAACTTATCATGAGTTTGGCAACTAGAGCATTAGAGGGGAGGACTGAATAGCTTTGACCACTTTGCAGCAAGTCTCAGGACATGTCTCCACACACTAATTCCTCTTACTAACAGTCTCTCATTCATTCCTTCTCTGTTTTAAACACATAGGTCAAAGTTCAGACACTAAGAGGATAAGCCCTTTGGTTTGCCATCTTCACCATTTAATCTTCCCTGTTATTTCTGATCCTTTAATCACATTGATAAAAGAGGAAAAGGCCCAAATAAAACTGTCCCAATGAACAAATCCCACAGCATCTGCCTGCAAAAGTTAACAAAACAACAGATTCTGGCTCCTCGAAGCCCAGAGTGTCAGACAGACCTATCCTGGCAGACCTGAGAGCTCCAAAAAACCCTCCCTCTCTTCTGCAAGAAGTCACCCCTCTTGATCTGTGTCACAACACCTCTTATGCAGCTGACAACAGATCTTCATTACACCAAATTTCTTTCAGAAGGCCTCATCTCAGTGTAGCCATCTTCAAGAACAGTTATTTTCCTGAAAGCAGCTTTGAACACAATTAATGAGTCCTTTGTGTTTGGCAAGCTCCTTCCCATGTGAGAGGAACAAAGAGGCAGCACAGAATGTGTACACACAGCTCTAATCCATACCAGCATTTCAAAGTGGCAGCTGGCAAGACACCCACACAGCCGCTCAAGTCCACGCTCTCAAAGCTGGCACCATGCAATGTGATATTGGTCACAGTACAAGCGTAAAGGTTAGCACCTAAGATATAACAAGGTTTTTTAATTTTTGCTCCCTGCAGCGTGACAGTATAAAACAACACAGCAGTGCAGCTTGCAGCCTGCACTTAAGCAGGACCACATCTTGGCAGAGTTTCCTAGTAGAAGATGGTCTGCTACAGTCTAACTCCTACATCCCAGCCTTCAAGTTTTAGTCATCACCAGGGCTTCTCTTCCACTGTTTTGTTCCCACCTTAGCAGTCACTTGGCTAATTATTCAGCAATGATCCCTTTATTCATTAAGCCACATCTTCCCAATGCCTCCCCCAAGAACTAGTTTTCTCTTGAGTTCTTTACCATTGGTTAAACTCCATTTGCTAGGAGTGAGGGGACTGAACACAGAATCCTTGGCATATCACAGAACGACACAGAAGACTCCCTCAGCCCTATTACAATGCCCCAGAGTCATAATTAATTTCATTCCCTATCTTACACATTGGCATCAGACTTCCGGCAACAATTTGCATGCAAAAGGCATGAACTCTTAAAATCTTTTGAGCAGAAATAGCCCACATTAAAGTGAAATCAGAAATTCTCCTGCTAGCCAAAGATGCTTAATGAACAGCTACACAAGTCAAGAGCCACAACATGTCTCCAGAGCCCTATTTCAGAGTTTTGTGCACAAGGAAATCCTTGAAAGCAATGAAGTTTTAACAGCTGCTTTGCAAGACAGACAGCAGTGTAGTCACCAAGTGATGCACAGATGTGTCAGCATCTTTCCACACAGGAAGGGGGATGAAGCAACACACAAACCCAAAGTCATCCTTTGAGTCAAGATGGGAAATGACCTTTCTTCTTAAGCATACCTTTAAAACTACCATATCACTTAAGTAGATATGCAAAGCTAAGAAAACTTCAGAATTCTTTCTGCTTAGGGAACTGGTTCCTGAAATCTGGCCTATCACATGAGAACCACCAGACCTTGAAAAAGGGGCATCACTCAGGGGGCATGGTGGCAATATGCAAGTTCGGGAAGAAATTTAAGTTTGGTTGAGTTGGCGGTCTAGCCACAATCCAAGCATATTAAGGTGTTTGTTCTCTCTAGTATTTTTATTCCTTCTCTTCCAATGATGTTTATTTGTTCTTCACTTTATAGACTTTTCAGGAGGTTACTCAGCTCTCTGGAAGTCCTCTGATTCAGGAGAGGAATACATGTTCTGGAACAGATGACCCCAAGGCATCCTCAGACAAGGAGGTTGCTAGAGACTGACAGATCTACATAGTGCCTAAAACCTCAATTTTCCACACAGGCAGCCTACACACAAGGCTTAAACATGCCTGGCACTGAACAGCCAGCCAGGGAGGAAAAAGAGCATAGCGAGGGAATCGTTTTAATTGGATGAAGGTTAATCCTAGTATCAGAGAACTCAGAAAAACCCTGTGCTGAGTTCCATCCAGTCTAACCCCCTCAAAGAAACAATCTGTATATCGATGGTTTGACTTTCTCTTCACACAGCTTGATACCTACCAGGCATGCCATTATGAGGCAGGGCTCCTGTTATTCAGGCTAAAGTCTTCTGTTTATTGAGCTCTGGAGTACCTTACCATCTACCCATACCTCTCTAACTTGCGAGTTTGCATCTTTTGCCTACTTGATAAAGCTTATCATGTTAGTCCTTTCTTTGTCAAGGAGTTCTCCACACAAGTAGCACTCAGGCACGATAAAAGATCCAGACATAGCTACTCTAATACTTCAGTTGGACTTCTGCTGAAACTGCTTGAAATAGATTAATGCAGAAAGCACAGAAGCTACAGGTAAGGAGTAAGCAACAGACGGACTTTTGGCATTAACAGTCTCATTCTTGTACCAACTTACAACACAGACCTAAAACCACTCTGATCAGAGGTGTGGGCTTTCCATCAGCATATGATGCCTGTCACAGCAGACCGATCCACAGGAACAAGGAACTCAGCTTAGGCATTGCTTTCCTTTTACTAGCCAGCCTCCTGGCTGCAGGAATACACTACATCAAGTTCTAAACTGTGTTTTATCAAAAGAGTAGAGACTTATAAAGGGGATATGCTTAGAACAGTGCCACCATGATCCAGCTTGCCACTGTCTCTGTCACAGTAGCTGCTATATTCAGGGGAAAGAAAAATGAACAAGAGTGATGTTATCACAGCTCTCCCTAAGAGTCAGAACAAGCTCTCGATCAGAACTCACAAACTTAAGGCTTACAGCCAAGGATCACAAGAAAAAAAAATACATCCGGAAGAAGGAATCGACTGCAGAAGTGCTATAGACTCAGTGACTCAGTCATTTCAATTTCTCACCTACCTTGCTAGTATGAACGTTAAAAAATTGAAAACATTTATATGTTCAGATTCTCTGCAAGAGTGGTGTTCAAAGCAGAAGGGAGGAAGGAAAGACAAGCTGCAACTCTCAGAGAAAACAGCAGGGCATCAGCCACAGACTCCGCACAGCTATTCCACAGCCAGTTTGGTGATCACAATCACCATGTCCATTATAAACTACATTTCTTCTCTCAATTAGAGCTTTATCTAAACTAAAAATAAAGCTTTCTTTCTGTAAGAGCTAGAGAAGACAGGTCTTGAAGAGTTCTTAGAAAGATGCACGCAATCTTTTATTTTGCCATACCAGCCTCACAAATCAGAAGAAATAGTTTGTCTAAGAGTTTAAAACAAGAGTTCCAGCAAAACAGTTTAAAGGGCAATTTAAATTTGTACTAAAGCTTCCTCTTCACGTTAAAAAAATAGAAAAAAGAACAATAGCATTAATCAAAAGGAAACTGCACTTTATAACAGCCTGACAAGTTAAGATTTGTAATCAACACATCTGAAAGTACTTTATAGCAGAGATAATCAGTACCCTCAGGCTTAAAGAAACTCAATCGGTCAGAATGATGGTGAATAAGTAACAGGTCACAGAGGTCCTGAAGACAGCTTCATCCTCTTGCATTTTCCAGTTTTTGTTCATACAAACTTCTTTGATCAAGTTTATTTACAGTCCTAAAGAAAAGAAGCAAGAAAAAGACTTACCTCCTCCACAGACACAGGCAGGATAACGCGGCTGAAAGGGAATACAGAAACAGAAAGTTAACAAACATCCCTGCAGCTGCAAAACTTACGTGACACATTCCTCACAACAATGGCTACACAGCTCTCCTCTCCCCCCAATATTCCAGCATCCACCTAGTGCGAACATCCTGAGCACTTATCTTTAGTCCCAGGACTATTTATATAATAGCCTCAAAGAGAATCAATACATGATAGAGCATAATTACAGTCCTATATTAAAACCATATAATTCTCACAGACCCTTACTGGTAACGCCTTACCAGCCTACACATCTACACAGCATCAGAACAGTTGCGCGTTCCTCCTCACTACAGCCTTTCAATAGTCACATCTTACTTCTCATCAAGTTGTTGTAGAGCGTTGCTATGTGCTTCAACAACTTTGCAGAGATCTGCGATAGTCACAAGCCCTTACACGAGTTGCTTATATGTTCTATCCAGCAGGAAAGAACACTAAATAGAGAACTATATGGAAGGCTGCCTCAGAGCTGACTGCAAAGCAAGGTGTTGCCATTTCTATTCATGAGTCACTTTTTTTTTTTTCCCCATTGCGGTTTCCTGAATGCCTCTTAGAATCAACTGACTGGACTACGAAGCAAAAACTGCCAGAAGTCACGCTGAGATTTTTTTTGAAAAAGACAAGAATAAAGCTAAATTTTAAGCTGATAAAAAGGCGCGCATGTTAGGGCCTTTAAAAATATTATATCTATCTCCAAAGCTAGATTTGTATTTGACCTCTGCTTTCAGTAAGCATGATGTTGAAACAAGGAACCAAAGTAAGATACAGATACGAAATGGATGCAGCTACGGTGGAAGAATTCCCAGTTCTTTGAGAATTAGTGTCAAAGGAATGAGGATATAATGGGATCAGGAAAAAGTAATGTATATTCATAAACTGATTTCTAAAAAGCAATACCGGTGAAAATAATTTTTTTTTTCTACCCTGGAGGAACATTACCAGCAAAATACCACAAGTAGTAAGAGGGGCAAAAGTTTAGAGATTATGCAAGATTACTTATGACAGAAATGCTTTATGCTGGCTGCAAAGTACTGCAGAAAGAGAACTGCAAGATGAAACTCACTGTCAATAAGAAGAATAATGTGCTATAGGCACTTGTTCTCCCTAAACACATGGGGTTAATGAGCCCCACATCAGCTATCGCCAACAAGTATCTTGGTGTCCTTATGGCAAAGCACCTGGAAACAGCTCAGTGGCAGTTCAAAAGTAAATACAACATCAGAAACTGGAACATAATACATACACCCAAGAAAAGACAGTTACGTCTATAATCTCTCATGCTTCAACATCTTGAATATAATGCATATAATTCTGGTCACCTCATCTCAAAGAGGATACAGAACAAGTGAAGGAAGGCAAAAAAGATGATCGGAGATGGGAAAAAGCTTCTGTGGGTGAAGAAAGTAGACAGACTAGGCTTTTCAGCTTGGAAGAAAGAACACCTAAAGGGTTAAGATATGGTAGAGCATTACAGACATGAATGGTTAGAAAAAGTGAATGGAGAAGGAACAATGACTATATGTCTTAGAACAGAACAACTCAGGAAATAATAAAAATCACTAGGCAACAAATTTAAGACCAATTGAGTGTACTTCTTTACATCATGCATACTTAAATTATGGGATTCCTTGCCAAACTCAAGAGTTATAAGCAATTTTTAAATGGGATTTGATCAATTCATGGAAGTCCATATGCCACTTACTGGTAGGATATACTGAACAACAGTCATTCTGCTCACTATATATTGCATCCTAAAAATATCTGCTAGAAGGCAAGATGGAAGAGGACCTTTGGTCCAGCTGAATATGGTATTTCTTATATAAGGGAGAGAAAAAAAAAAAAGAAAATAATTTCCACAGGTAGACCAAGCCATCAAGCATGACATTAGGTTAATTAACTGGATAAAACTCAGTAAGAATGAAAAGAGGGATAGGATGATAAGTAAAGGCAAAAGACCAAGAAACAGGGAAGAAACAATGGCTTTGGAATAGAGTTTAAATATTTTTCTTTAAAAAACCTGGTGTAAAAAGGTTGATGTAAGCTAATGAAATTCCATTTAGAAAACTGGAGGACATTAAATCTGAATATTATCTTAAGAGTTCACTGTTCATGAATGGAGAAACAGAAACACAAAGTTAAATAGTTTACAATTCACTTAGCCTAGCAAACCAAGAATGAGGGGGATGACTAAGACTTATAGGTAGTCAAGTGGTAAAGGAAGAGGGAAGACGACTCAGGAGGACCCAGAGAAAAAGCTTCACAGGAGCAGCAACAGAAACAAAGACTCCTAACTTTGGGACAGAACTTGATCAACTTATGAGAAGTTATATGATGCCGTTGCCTGCCATATCAAAGGCCTGAAACGATGAAGAACATTTAAGATCCCTCCTAGATTAAAATTTGACTCAAATGACAGCAAAGGGAAGTACAGCCGCAGAGAAGTTCAGTGTCATTATCGTCACTTCACAGGAAAGGGAAGTAAGTCTCTACACTCTGATTCTCCTCAAGGTCTTCCGATGCACTTTAAATCAAAATAAGGAGAGCAAGCAAGACCTGAGCCAGCATTTACAAACCCTGAATCCAAAAAAACCCCAATCAAACAAATGAACAAAACCCATGCAGCTTATCTGTAGGATGGATAGGTAGAAATGAAAGCTAAGTCTGAAAGACTAATAGGATGTCATATAAAAACATTAAAACTATTGCTGCATAACCATCAGTACAAGCAGCTGTACAGAAAAGATTGTCTGTCTGACAGTAAAAGATGTGACATCAGGTTGTTGTTATATTGTCCTATTTCTATAACATCTCCTAAAATACCTATGGAGCATATAGTAATACCCATTTGATTTAGTAGGGATGATGTGACATGAGGTCACAGAGATGAAAGAATAATCTGCTCAGATGACATGCAGTTACAGCTCACTTATATTTTACCACCTACACTAGGTAGGCAGTAAGGTATCCGTATGCATTGTTGGGGCAATCAGAATTAATCAAACAATAACAGCAAAGTATTTCAAATATCCAGGTCACACCAAAACAAGAAGTTTCTCTATGCCTTAAACAACGGCTTCCTGGAACATGAGATTTAGTCAAAAAACATCTCAAACAGCATGTAAAACGGGCAACTTTCAAATACAACATCAAGGAACATTTAGATCAGAACTAGTAGAGTGACACAACTCAAGAGTGTGCAACTGTTAGAGCTAGCTGGGAATCCCAAGAAGTCAAAAGAAAATGCTAATTTCTAAAGTACAGTAGCAACCTTGACTGTCCTTAGAGCCACATATGTCTTAACAAAGAAGGGAAGAAAAGAAACAGGACAATACAGCTAATGACAAGACTTAAAAAGCTTAGTGACCCTTCTGAAAATAGAAATGGAAGCCTCTAAAAAGAAACAAATTTCATAATTCTGGTCTTTTAACCTTTAGTCTTAATATCTACACTTCACATTTTGTTTCTGAAACAGCCTGTGTGAAAGACTAGTAGATATGTTGGTGAGGTAAATGACAATATCAAGTGAAATGACTTTTGGAAGCAATGCTCATCAAAATGAACTTTTCATACTCTCAGAAATCTGAAAATTCAAGGTACATATATTCCTACCTTTACGAGATGCCCAGTGGGTAGCATAGCTCACTGGCAAGTGAGCTCTACTGCAGTACAGGGGATGAGATTGTAAGCAGAAGCATGAAAAAGATATATAAATGCCAATAAAAATAAACCAGGCTGGTGCTGTAAGAGGAAAAGTACATTAACCACCTAAATTCATAGGAAAATTATCAACAAAACAGATGTTCTAGAAGAAACAGTTAATTATCTTTTCATGCACCTGAAAGTAAGTCCAGGTTTCTGTCTGCTACCCAGTTTAACACTACAGAAGGTAACAGTGTCTCTATGTGACAAAGACCAGCTCTGCACCCCTACACTGTTGGATAAAAATAGCAAGAGTTTAAGGATCGGTGAAAAAAAAAAAAAAAGTTAATCAAGTTTAAAGACAACTACATGGATCAGTACAACCCTCAACACAGTCTGAATCTCTCAATCCACACCATCATCCATGATCTGGCAAAGTAATTGCTATAAAGAGGACACCATCATGCAGGTAAACGTGTCTAATAGAAGACCTGAAAACCCACTTTAGCACTGGGATCACAACAATCTTCTATAAGGGGGGGAAAGCCTTTTCCATCAGTCAAATGAAGTTTTTTCCATCAATCAAATGAAGTTTAAAAGAATAGAATGCACTTAAGTTTACCTTAAGAATTCAGCAAAGAAATACGTGCAGCAGTATGAAGAGCTCGCAGACACCTGAGCCAAAGTGCAACCGAGCCGACCACGGTAGCAAGCACAAAGCAGCTGAACGCAAGACTCGGAAAAGCGATGTGACTAATAGTTCCACACACTCGCGACAGATCGCCCAGCCCGTTTTCCACCCCTTCTTCCCCATCACGGGGCACAACCACCGCGGCTGCCTCGGGGATGCCGAGGAACTCCGAGGTGAGGTTTCCACATCAAAAAAAAAAAAAATATTTTGGAGCTTATTTCCGGCACGTTCACTCTTGTTGGGAGTCTCTAGTTAGCAATGACCGAGCTGAAGGAGAGGGGGGGGGGG